CCCCAAAACCCCAAAACCCCAAAACCCCAAAACCCCAAGATATCAATTTACATTAAAAACTGGAACATTATTAGATACAATTAATAATCATCATAAGCAGCTTCATTATTTATTTTCTAACAATTAATTCACACGAACTCAGTAATAACTTGGTTTCAATTAGCAGTACAATCATGAGAAGAAATCCTTAAATCTAGAGACAAACATCTTCATCAGTTCTTCATTTTCTAAGAAAAGTATATGGGCTGTTCTTCCAATTAAAGAGTCTAGGTTGGTCTCTTGAATTTAGAAATTCACATCCAGTCTATAGAGAACATCGGCCTTCACATCTCTCATTAAATTATTAACCATCTAGATGTAAATATTGCCCTTAGCTATATCTTTTGCTGCATCTGAGCATATTTAGATTCTTGCTGAGTCAAAAGGTGCATATTAATCTTAGAATGAACTGACCAAGATAATATGCTTAAACCATTCAAAACCTTTGAGCTTTGATAATTCAAATAATGTAGTTTTTTCAAGTTCCTTTGAATCAGTCATACTCAACTATGATAGGCACTGAGACTTTCTCCACTTTTTAAGAACCCAAAGACCCGCATTAAATAGCTTACTTGATTTATACATGTAACCAAGATGAGGACTACATAGACTAAGGTATCCATGAAATTGATCTTTAAATTTTTCTAAATGAGGTAGTGCCGCCCTAATTATCAGCCCTCCTAAAGAATGCCCAATAAAAGTCAACCTAGCTAGGTTCTTGCCAGGACAACTTTCTCTTATGTATTAGTGAACTTCTTATGCTAATCTATAACCCATGTCTGGTATGCTTCCTTCAGTGTCTTATTCATTTGCAATAGAGCATAAAAACAAGCATTCAGGTAAAGCTATTGATATGATATTCTTGAATATTCTCATATCAAAGGATGAACCCTAGAAGCCGTGACACATTACAAACAAATGCTATCCTGAATAGCTAGCTTATTTAGCATTATTTGGATGAACCTTTTCCTTAACCTTCTCATCATTATGAAGCTCAAACGTATTTTAAATTCTATCGAAATTTTTGTCCTTAATATAGCACTCCTCAAATATTAGAGGAGCATATTTCTCCATATTTCTCTTCTTGCGCTTTTTCTTTCCATTAGCTTGCTACTCCTCTGTAATTTTGACTTCCTCTACATCCATATTTGATGGACCTGCAAACTCCTAGTGCATCTAGATCATTTAACGCGTCTTCTTAGCAACAATATCGTTTAGTTAGCCTGTAAAATCTTCGCTTGGGAAGGAAAAATCTTTCGTTTTTATAACATGTCTAAGTATATTTTCACCATATTTATCTTCAAGTTTCTTCTAGTATTCATCAAGAAGGACTTTGTATATTTTCTTTGGCTTATGCATTAACAGTTTGGACATATTATTGGAGAGCTCAAATAGTTGTCCAGCCAGAGAATTAATCTCCATTATAATGGCATTGCCAACTTTATATGGATCTTTAAATGCATTTTTAGAGCTGTTGCTACCACTGCCTTCGATACTAAGAATAAAATCCTCATTTTCTTTGAATCTATCAAGAGTGCTCTAAAATTCATTATTGCTTGATGACTTTGATTTAAAATGCTTATTTGTTTTTTCATTTGGCTTTGGTAATGTTATCGAATTTTAAGGTCTCTTACACTCTTCTTCCTCGTTTATGCCATCTTAATATTAATGCGATGAGCCTGGACTTCCGAAACAAGCTCTCTCTTCGTCATTAAAACTACTAGCTTGATCTTGGTTATTCTGATACCTTGAAGGCTAATTGCCAGGTGAGAACAGCTAGGATTGTTCCTCAATTATAGATTGATCATCTGAATTAAAATTCTTGATTGGCTAGGCCTTTTTAATCTCTATCTGCGGTCTTCTAAATTAGGATTTCAATTCACTCTCAATGAAAGAGTCCAGACCCTTATATTCTAACTCCTTTGGAATCCTGGGGAAATCTACTTCTAACTGTTCTTGATTACTGAGACACTTTGAACTAAACTTTAAGTAGTTATCCTTCAAGTTTTGATAAATTTATGAAAGCGTTTCTGTATAATCTGCGTAAGTTTCCTCTACTTTTTTGTCTGTTATTGAGAGAAAACCGAATTCATCAAAAAAGAAGAATTCACCGATGTTATTTGGAGTCCAGTCTTTTTTCCTTTATATCTACAAATCTTGCTCGAGATACTTCTATTCAACTAGAATTCCATTTTCCATGAATGTGTCTCCTTCTTAATGTTCTTGGCCGGTAGCACTTTTAATTTTCCCTCTCATATTAGAAGCTCTAAACCTAAAATCGATAATTGAACCATGGAGAGTAGACACACATAGACTAGTAAATTCTCTGTCAAAAGAGATTGGAATAAGAGTAGAGAGGCCAGACAGCAGATTATTGATCTGATAAATCTTTGTTTACACTAGTTTAAACTTATCTGCACTGTTCCTTAACTCCTCTTTCATTAACTCAGCGGAGTTTACGATCTACTGGAAGTTATGTTACGGGGGTAAACAGTAAAATAACTCCACTTTTAAAAAGAACTCAGTCTGCAAATACCCTGGTTTAACGTCCACTTCTGTTCTGTATTTGATTATATCTCTGATTTAAACTATTTCATCCGCGTATCTAATAAAGAATATCTTTGTCATATAGCATGCTTGCTCATCGTAGGTAGATGGCTCTTGCAATCTATGGAAATTAGCTTTATCTTTGTTTCTGCTCTCATAATCTTTAGAGCTATAATCATAGGGATTGGCATAATAAATCTATAGAATTATAACTTATTTACTAAATTACCTTTTCATCATCCTCATTGAAGATTTGAAACTTCAAAAAGTACATGCCTTGCTAGAATAAGTCTATATTTCTGAAATGTTCTAAGTGCAGAATAAATTCTGCTATTCCTCTAAATGACATTTTATGTTAATTATTCAAGAACGATTAAATTTAGATAATTTATTAGGAGATGGTTGAGAATTCAAAATTTCAAATACGATGCCATCCAAATCTTTTAAAGATTACCATCAAGGGGTTTTGGGGTTTTGGGGTTTTGGGGTTTTGGGG